ACAGAAATCTGAAAATTCATTTCTTAATTCCTTTTTAAAACCAGCCGACAAAGTTGCTGGGTGCACCCGGTGCTGTACACCCAGAGGGACTTCCATGCGGGACCCACGGTCAAGCTGGACCCACGCGTCAGCTGGAGCCGAGGCAGGGCCGCCGTTGACCGGTCGGCTCTCGCCGACGGCGAGGTCCCCGGCGAAACGGAGGGCACCAACGTGCTCCCCATGACAAACCGCGTCGGATAGAGGTGAATAGGGAGGGGCGGTTCATGGGAGAGAGGCTCGCTGACGCCAATGGCGGAGCGGCGGCGCGGGTTGTCGCCGGTGGAGCGTCTCCGGCCACGGTATGGCGAAAGGAGGCGCTCGGGAGACTCAACGTCGCAGTGCGGTGCTTGTGTGCGCGAAGGAAAGGCGGGAAGAGAAGCGGAGAGGGGGAGTCCACGGGAGCGGAGCTCGCCATTGAGCTCGGCCATGCTCCGGCGAGCAATTCCCAAGGAAGGGATGCTTACCACGGCGAAGTAATGCGAGCACGGGGTGCACGGGGTGAAGGCGGAGCTGCAGGCGAGACGGAGTGGTCGACGACGAGCTATGGTGGCCGGGTGAGCCAAATCCGGCGAGGGAGCTGGTGGTGGGCGGTGGCGGGCGCGTGCGCTGCTGCTGTCCGAGCGAGAGGCGAAGGGAGGAGCAGGAAATGGGATGCCGGGCGAGCGCTGCGGGAGTTCAAGCCGTGGCCACCCGTGCCAGGACTGCCGCGGCGCGTGGACGCGGAGTCAGGCTGCCGGCGACGGGTTACGCCACGCAGCGGGCTTGGTCTAACGCGGTCGGGAGCGTGGCGTGGTTGAGCGAGCACGGTGCGCAGGAGCAGAGGCGCGGCGCGGAGGCAGGCCGGGCCGCCTGTGCGGCTGGGCCGAAAGCGAGGCGGCGGCCCATTAAAGGAAAATGAAAATTTTCAATTCTTTTATTTTCACGGAAATTTCAAATAGCAGTTTTCAAATACCCTTTTGAGCAAGAAAATGACTTCTTTTGAAAATGGACCAAAAATGAAAGTTGCTTAGAATTTAATCCTCTACAACTTTGCTTTTACGACTAAAGTCCAATTCTTGCTAGATTTTGAATTATTAAATTAAAGTCAATTTTAACTCAAAACCCAAATTTCGGAGAATTATTTTTAATGGCAATAATTTAGATACAAACTTTGCTCCAAAAATTATGCTAAATAATTCTAGATGATTTACAATCATAGCCAAACATGTTTTACTAACCTAGCAAGCATAATTTGGGCAAAAACAACTCTAAACGAGTATATGCAACATTCATGTTTCATGAGCATGTTTCATATGTTTCGAAGCCTGGTTTCAGTTATTATTTACATGATTAGGTATGTATGATTAGGATGCTTGATGATGCACAATATGTATGATTGCAGTGCCTAAATGCTTGCATAACACCGGGGTGTTATAGAAACTAACCTCATCTACAGATCCGTGGGTGGGATTAGGACCTATCCTCACCTATTAGAGAGTAGGGACACCGGATAGATGTAATTGATGGTGACTCATATGTGCTGATACGTCTATTAAAGGATGGAGGACCGTGAGTGGATGTACACGCTCCGGAGAGACGAGCACGATTATGACTTGCTGTTTATAGTCAAGGTCGAAGAATTCTTACAGCATGCATTTGGCGAGAGTGCTGGAGGCCATTCTCTAGTGGTTTGTCCGTGCAGCGGTTGTGACAACAGAAGAAGGAAAGATAGGTTAACCATGGGTAAACATATTGTGAAGTTTGGATTTACTCCGGGCTACCACCGGTGGATCCACCATGGTGAAGCCGATCGTATCAGGGAGGAGGTGGTGAGACCACGGCTCGAGGCTTTCGATGATGATGCCGGGGTAGCAGACATGCTGGATCACACGCACCAAGCTCAGTTCGCTGAAGGACGTAACAAGGAGGAGATGGAGGCTGCCGCAGATGCCTTCTACCTGATGTTGGACTCGGCACAGAGACCCCTTCATGATCATACTAATGTTTCTCAGCTGGATGCCATTGGTCGCGAAATGGGGTTGAAGGCCGAGTTAAACCTAAGTCAAGAAGGCTTCGACAAGATGGTGGCCGTGTGGAGCGATATGCTACCGAAGACACACATTATGCCGAAGAACTTGTACGAGTCAGAGAAGCTCCTTCTTGCACTTAAGATGCCGTATGACAAGATACATGTGTGTCTGAAGGGGTGCGTCCTATTTAGGAAACAACACGCGGATGCAAAGTACTGCCCGAAGTGTAAATCCTCCAGGTACGTGGAGGTAGACTCAGGCGATGGCCAGAAGAGGTAGCTTAAGATCCCCATGAGAGTCCTACGACACCTTCCGTTCCTGCCGAGGATCCAACGGCTATTCATGACCGAGGAATCCGCGAAACAGATGACATGGCACAAAAACGGCACATGGTACAATCCTGAGAAGATGGTACATCCATCCGATGCTGATGCATGGAAGTACTTCAATTCGCGGCATCCTCTCAAAGCAGAGGAGGCTCGTAATGTACGTGTCGCGCTGGCAACAGATGGGTTAAATCCATATGGCATGATAGCTGCACCATACACATGTTGGCCCGTGTTCGTCATCCCCCTGAATCTCCCCCCCCCGGCGTCTCCTTTCAACGGCATACCGTGTTCCTATCGTTGATAATCCCTGGACACCCGGGGAGTAATATGGGTGTCTTCATGGAGCCTGTGATAGATGAGTTGATCGATGCTTGGGTCAAAGGGGTGTGGACATACGACCGAGCTACGAAGACTAGCTTCAAAATGCACGTCTGGTACCACTACTCATGCAAACCATCGGGCAAGCATCCGGTGTCCAAGTGCAGTTGCCAGCTCCAGCTCCGGTTCGACACTTCACTCCTGTGAGTATGAAAGTTTAATGCGTTCGTGCCGTTGGGATTGTCGGCCTTCGTGCCATTGTGATTTTCGGTCTACGTGCCGTTGGGATTGTCGGCCTTCGTGCCGTTGTGATTGTCGGCCTTCGTGCCGTTGTTTCTTGCAGGTTGGAAACCTCCCCGTGCAGGGGAGGTGATGCCAAAATTTTCAATTTTGAGTCTAACACATGCAATCTCTTCTCTTTTGTGCAGCCTCCGTCGGCGGGTTCAAACAATCCCGCTACCGTGTCATCGGCGGCTGATCGCGTCAACCCTTCGCCGCATTCCGGGGGGCCACACCTGCAGTCTCCGTCGCCACAGTAGGGATGTTGAACTTTGTGATGTTGAACTTGTAATAATAAACTTGTGATGTTGAACTTTGGTGCATTTGTGATGGATTTTCGATGGATTTATTAAATATGCATGTGCTTGTGATATATAATGCATGTTGGTGATATAGATGTGATGATTGATGTATATATATATACTGTTATAATGGAATGTAAAAAAAAATTTGCAATTCTCGGGGTCTTTGCCGAGTGCCATGGGCAAGGCACTCGGCAAAGATTTTTCAAAAAAACAATATATATAATTTCTTTACCGAGTGCCTTGCCGCGGCACTCGAAAAAGTATTTTTTTAAAAAAAATTCAGAAATTCTTTGCCGAGGGCCTAAACAGGGGCACTCGGCAAATAAATTATTTAAAAAAAATAAAAAAAAACTTTGCCGAGTGCATGGGCAGGGGCACTCGGCAAAGTAATTTTTTAAAAAAAATAAAAAAAACTTTACCGAGTGCCTGGGCAGGGGCACTCGGCAAAGTACTTTTAAAAAAAAATAAAAAAAACTTTGCCGAGTGCCTGGGCTGGGGCACTCGGCAAAGTAATTTTTAAAAAAAATAATTTTTTTTTTGCCGAGTGCTGGGTTGGGCACTCGGCAAAATAACTGTTAACGGCCGGTGCCGCAACGGCCAAAAATATTTTGCCGAGTGCCGCCCCAAGCACTCGGCAAATTTTTTTTTATTTTGCCGAGTGCCCGGATAAAAAGCACTCGGCAAAGACTCTTTGCCGAGAAAAATTTTGCCGAGCGGACTTTGCCGAGTGCTACATTCGGCAAAGACTTTGCCGAGTGCAAAGGGCTCTTTGCCGAATGTAAAAACACTCGACAAAGCCGCGGCCTCTAGTAGTGTGTGTATGGAGGATGTTGCATGGGGTGTTCGGATACTAATAAAAAAACAAATTACATAATCCGTCAGTGCTCCACGAGACGAATTTTTTAAGCCTAATTAATCCATTATTAGCATATGTTTAATGTAGCACCACGTTGTTAAATTATGAACTAATTAGTCTTAAAAGATTCGTCTAGCAAATTAGTCGTAAATTATACAATTAGTTTCGTAATTAGTCTATATTTAATATTCCATGTATATGTCTAAATATTCGATGGGACAGCGACTAAAATTTAGTAGGGGCAACCAAACACCACCTTAGTGTTCTTCCTTTTCCATGTATATATACATGCTGGCATCCTGCACCCTACATCTCTCTCCCCCATGCAACCTTCACTCTTCATGGATCCAGGGGGTGTTTAGTTCCTTCGAATTCCATAATTTGACACTATGCAAAAAGAAGATTCCCCGTCACATCAAATTTGCGGTACATGCATGGAGTACTAAATGTAGACGAAATTAAAAACTAATTGCACAGTTTGGTTGTACTTTGCGAGACGAACGTTTTAAGGCTAATTAGTCAATGTTTGGACAATTATTACCAAATAAAAACAAACAACTTGCAAATTCGGCCGGCGCCAACTTGGTGCCCAACTAAACAAGGCCCCAATTTCACTTCTCACTCCACATACTCCTCAATCATTGCTTTGGTATTCTTTTTCATTTTTTTTTTTGTTTCTTCCCTCGTTCCTTCCTCTGAGGTGCGTGTTAACCTCTTCGATTCGTGTTCTTGGATCCTCTTTGCAGGCAGAACCACAAGCTTGTGATTTTGCACTCATCAAGCTATTAGGTGAGGAGGAGAATTTCGTTCACAAGAGCACAAAGCCAAGGTTTTTGTGGGCGTCGTCGACGACGACCTATAGGCGATGGCGGCGTACTACCACGGCGGCGCCGTCACGGACATCCAGGCCAGCACCGACGGCCTGCGGACGCTGTACCTGATGAACCCGAGCTACGCCGGCTACGCGGACGACGGCGGCGCGTCCGCGCCGGGGGCGACCAACATGATGCTCCTCAACTCGGCGGTGACCACCATGACGCCGGCGTCCTTCGCGCACCACCACCACCACCAGAAGTCTCCGTCGTCGGCCGCGCAGCAGCAGCACTTCGTCGGCATCCCGCTCCAGGCGCCGCCGTCGGGCTACAACCCGTGGACCCCGGCGGCCACGGCCGCGGACATGTCGTCGCCAACGCCGCAGGCGCAGACTCCCGGCGCCGCAGCGGCTGGGGTCAGCGCCGTGCTCAGCCTGTTTTCCCGCGAGGCAGCGCCGCCGCCGGTCACGGTGGCCGTCCCCGGCTGCACCGACGACGGCAAGTACCACCTGGGCGTGTCGGCCACGTCGCAGGGGCAGATGGTGATGAGCTCCAAGTACCTCAAGGCCGCGCAGGAGCTGCTCGACGAGGTGGTGAGCGTCAGCAAGGGCGTCGAGGACGCCAACAAGACGACCAAGAGCCTGGCGGCGGTGAAGAAGAAGGAGGACTCGGAGGGCGTGTCCGGTGGCGGCACCGATGACGGTTCCGGAGCAAAGAGCGGTGGCGGCGCGGCGGAGATGTCCACCGCGGAGCGGCAGGAGCTGCAGATGAAGAAGAGCAAGCTTATCAACATGCTTGACGAGGTCAGTAGTATAAATAAATAGCACAGTTTATGGCTTCAATTCATACTACTTTACTAATATTAATTTCACAAGTTATTTTCCATTTGATGTCTTTCTCTCGATCGTGTTAAAAAATAAGATATTTTTAGAAAACCTGTTTTTAATTGCTGTTGATGAGGCCTTGAGGGTCCTTGATTTTTCATGAAAGTTTTTTGTTATGTTGCCTCAAATTTGACAGGGAGAGATATTTTGTCATGTTTTTGCTGTTTGCTTGCTTCTACAGTCTAAGACAGTGTCACAGTGTTGTGTATTAAAAGGCTAGGAACCATTTGCCTTTCGGTTATCTTTGTTATGCTGTTTCTTTTTCTGAAAGATGAGTGACACAATGCAAGTTGTTGGAACAGTGCATAGCTTTAATTTTAATTTGATGGATATATATCATCAGACTTTTCTCCCACTTTAAATCCTTCTCTTAATCAAGCATGCATGCTGTATCAACTTGCTGTAGTAGTATCAATACCAATTATTGTTCCCCTACTTAATTCTGTGATTTCCACCTCGCAGAAAACACTAGTTATTATGTGGTTTAATTATTCCCAGTTTACATACTTAGATATTCTTATTAGTACACCTTATCACCACTCAGGTTCTGTTCTTTTTTTTCCTTTTGAAATGTCTTAATTCCATTTTAAGCGTATGGGGTAACAACTAAGAGGTTCGGTTCAAACAGTAAAATGAAAGCAATAACATATTTTGTGTGTGTGTGTGGAAGAGAATGAAAACAATATAATCCAAGACAAAGTGCCATATAGAAGTTATAGAGTATATTTAACTAATAACATAACAAGTGGCAATGAAAACCATATCCTCTACTATCAATATGTACAACGAAATATATGGCAAGTGGAGGTCTTTCAGCAAACAAAAAAATCCTTAAGAGATAAGATTGGATCGTGCATGATTGCGCAAATAAATTAAACTCAACTACTTCCATTCTTTTGGTTGTACTTTGTCCATGCCAGTACAAACGAGCTTCAATTCGTTGCTTCATCAAATGTGTGTCTCTTTTTGTCTGCAATAGCCTGCAACATGAGTGTACACCGTACTGCATGCGAGCTAAATGCGAGTACTACCAAATACCAATTTTTATTTTCTTTATTAAAAGAAAAACATAAATTCATTCTCTCTTTATTTTTCCCCCGTGTCTTTTATATATACATCATTTCCGTGCATGAGTACACATATCATATCAGGAGCTGTGCGGTTGCGATTGCACCGATCAGCATTGATAGAGTTTGTTGACGAACAGTTGGTTGGATTCGATGGATCATCACTAACTAGCTACTTAATCAGCTAGCCTACTAGCAGCAGTAGGCCAGTAGCTAGCTAGCAGTAGCAGTAGCACGCCCTGATTAATGAATTGAAGAGGTCAATGACTGACTGACACTGTTGTGTGCGCATGGCGCGATCGATGTCGTCGACAACGACAAATGGCAGGTGGAGCAGCGGTACCGGCAGTACCACGGGCAGATGCAGGCGGTGTCGTCGTCGTTCGAGGCGGCGGCGGGCGCCGGGTCGGCGCGGACGAACACGGCGCTGGCGCTGCGCACCATCTCGCGGCAGTTCCGGTGCCTGCGGGACGCGATCGAGTCGCAGGTGCGCGCGGCGAGCCGGGCGCTGGGCGAGGACGCGGACGCCGCCGTCGCCGCCGGGGGCCGCACCGTGATGTCCCGCCTCCGCTACATCGACCACCAGCTCCGGCAGCAGCGCGCGCTGCAGCAGCTCGGCATGATGCAGGGTGGCGCCTGGCGGCCCCAGCGCGGCCTCCCCGAGCGCTCCGTCTCCATCCTCCGCGCTTGGCTCTTCGAACACTTCCTGCACCCGTGAGTTGTCCCGTTCCATCTCATCATGCATCTCATCCTCACTGCAGTATCCAGCTTGGTAGCTCATCATGAGCCCTTGTACTCTCCCTCCTGTTGGACGGACTACGAGAGGTGGCTCGTGGGCACGTAGGGCCTGCAATGCAAACCCTTCGAGCTAGCTACTCCATTGCTCTTTGTTTGGCCCTTTGCTTGCTTGCTTTCGTGCCCATGGCGCCATGCATGCAGCCTCTCACCTCATCGTGTCCGCATCTAATTGGTCCGCATGGATCCCTGTGTCGTCACGCAGATACCCCAAGTATTCGGACAAGATCATGCTCGCCAAGCAAACCGGGCTCACCAGGAGTCAGGTGGGTAAAGCTGTGAATCTTTCTTTCTTCTCCTGCTAATCAATTTCACTGTTTTACTGGCTGTGTAAATTAGCTTTAAAAACTTGTTGACGCGCACGATGTTAGGAGCTGTCGATCCGCACCCGCAACAGCACCCTCCGCCGTCGCCGTCGCCGTCGCCGCCAGCGAAAGTTAGGGTTTGGGGTTGGGGAACGAACGAAAGAGAGTGAGAGGAGAGTGCGGGAGTAAGTGGGCCGTGAGAAAATGAAAAAGGCCCAATACCGCGGTCGTCGCGGGTTGACCGGGCGAAAACCGCCGTCGCGCCGGCGCGAGGGCCAATTCTATCTGGTTTACAGAGTTAATAGACTACGCGTGTCTGATTTTCGAGTTAGAGGGCTAGAACCAAACTGCTGCCATAGTTGGAGGGCCAAAAACGAACTTTTTTTTTCCAAAAAACTACTACTAATGCGTGCACAATGATGTTCAGTTTCAACTTCAAGAGCATAAGCAACTCTATATATGTCATCCATGTCCTCCGTCGTCACGGTAGGTTTCAGAGAGGTGTTGTTTCATAAACTGTCCATTTGCAGGCTAAAGGCTACGCTGAGGATCAGCGTATTTTACCGCATGATGATGGGCCACATAAGCACCTGTTCTGCTCATATACTTTTCAGCCGACTTGTGCTTATTTTGGCTTATTCTTCCTCACAGAAATACTATTAAAACAGCCGAAATCAGTCGAAATGGGACCTAAGGGTCTGTTTCAAATTATAAGACGGTACAACTATTAGCTTTATGGATCTAAATGGGACCTGAGGGTCTGTTTGGATACACATAGCTATTTACTAAAAATGGTATACCCAGTGCGGAGAGCTCCCGCACTGTGCGGGGTCTGGGGAAGGGTGTTAGAGGCAAGCCTTACCCTCGCCTGTGCAATACGAGGAGACCGCGACTCGAACCCGGGACCTTCCAGTCATAGGCGGTAAGACTCTACCGCTTGCACTTGGCTCGCCCTTCACATGGCTATTTACTAGTCGGACTCAAAATTAACTCAGATTACATGTGGTTGGTCAACTAGTGGGCTAACAACTAGTTAAAGATTTGCCTAAAAATTAGTTGACCTATTAATCCATCTGTTTAGATGCACTCGAGCTAATTTATGCTAGAATTAGCTAGATAACAATTAGCTCATAGTATCAAATATGCCCAAGTCAAACTACCTGAACTTTGACTACATTAAATATATAGAAAATGTTCGCCTTGTTTTCTTGCCATGCTACAGTGTTTTCCTCTCACAACAAAATAGCATCAGCCGCAAAAACCATCAGCCGAACACCCCCATTATCAATGACTTTAAATAGGTATCTTGTAGAAAGATATTTTTATAATAAACTTAAATAGGTGTCCTGTGTATCCAATATTTTTTAATATAAAGTTAGTTAAATTTTAAAAAGTTTGACTAGTAGGCTAGTTATTAACAACTAACTATTTGCTTTATGATTCCAAATGGGACCTAAGGGTCTACTTGATACACATGGCTAGTTACTAGTTGGACTAGAAATTAGAATTAGATGTGGTCAGTTAACTAGTTGGCTATCCAACTAGTTAAATATTTGGTTAAAAAAATTAGTTCACATATTAGCCTCCTGTTTACATTACTTCTAGAGCTAATTTAAGCTAAAATTAGCTAGGTAACAATCACTATCGGAGACGGTTTCTTTGCCGAGTGCTTTTTATCGGGCACTCGGTAAAGAGGATGTTTGCCGAGTGCCAGAGAGGAAGCACTCGGCAAACAACTAACACTCGGCAAAGAGGTGGTTTGCTGAGTGCCAAGTACTCGGCAAACAATAACACTAGGCAACGAGGTGGTTTGCCGAGTGCCGAGCACTCGGCAAACAATAACACTCGGCAAAGGACGCCTCCGTTAACGGCCGGCAGCCGCCGTTAATACTTTGCCGAGTGTCTTCTCCTGACACTCGGTAAAGAGGCTCCTTTGCCGAGTGTTGTCGGTGTTTCGAACAAACACCGGCTAGTGAATTTATAATTGATGCGCGTTAGGCTCGGATGGTGTACTAAAGGACACAAGGTTTATACTGGTTCGGGTCGAATGTCCCTACGTCCAGTCTGCTGCTGCTCGTGTTATCAGTACCAAAAACGGTTTGTAGTAGGGGGTACAAACGATTGGGAGAGGGAGAGATCCCAGGTCCCTGATGGAGTGGTTTGAAAGGACGCCAAGAGCTCTGTTGCTGCTTGGCTGTATTGTGTGTGTGTGTGTGTTCTAACTCGTTGAGAGTCGGTCCCTCTAGTGGGGATCCCTGCCCTCCCTTTTATAGGCCAATGGGGGAGCAGGGTTTACAGATGGGAGAAAGAGGAAAATACTAAAAGCATAGAAGGTCCTTTGAGGGACCCGGGCCTTCCTTCTTCCCTGCGCCTACCCTGCTTAACATGGCAGACCGTGTCAGAAGTAGCGTGTCTGTTGACCAGGCCATGTCCCGGTACTGTTTAGCAAGTGGTTACGTCCCATCCTACGCCAGCGGGCGGTGCGGCGTGCCGAAGAGCCGAGCCGTGACCCTTGGAGAGGGGTCGGGGATGTGACCACACACCTGCTACTGTAGATGATGTGAACCCTATTTCGGACTATAGCGGTTGTCGTATGCTGGTATTAGTATCTGCACCCGAGGGCTGAAAGCGGCGCCTACTATACCGTGGGATGAAAGCAGGCGCCCTCAATACTATTCAGGCACTGTCACGATGGGAAGGGCCTTAAAGCGTTCGTCCCATCATGTTCTGATGGTACCTCCCTGCAGGCGTGCAGGGCAGGGCCCCTGACATCGTGGCTGACTCGTACGTCCTGTCGTACCTCGGCATCGTCTTTAGGAAGGATCAGGGTGCAGTCGTGGGGCGAGGTGGGCCCTAACCTCTAGCCATCGGGCGAGGCGGAGTCAACCTTCGGCCGTTGGACGCGGCGGAGCCATCCCACGGGCGTTGGGTGAGGTAGAGCCTAGCCCTCAGCCCTCGGGCGAGGCGGAACTGGCCCTCAGTCATTGGGCGAGGTGGAACCGGCTCTCAGCCATCGGGCGAGGCGGAACCAAACTCCCGTCGTTCGGGCAAGAAGCGCGATAGAGTTCCTGTCCGACCGGGAGCGTTTAATGTTTCACGTTTATTTGTTCCACCCCCGTGGGTACCCCGGTATTATGTCCCCGACAGTAGCCCCCGAGCCCCCGGGTGATTCGGATAGGATCGCCTCGGGGGATGCTTCGATTTCATCAGAGTTAATTCACCAGAGGCTGCGCGCGAGCGCACCCGGTGGGTGTAGCCCCCGAGCCCCTGGGTGATTCGATTAGAATCGCCTAGGGGTAGTATCGGGCCCTCCGCGGGTAAGGCCATAAGACCTGGTTTATTTGTTAACTGGATACTTTTTTGAGGGAATCGTGGTATCCCGTTCGCGGAGATTTCATTCAGGGTCAGCCTGGCTGGGGCTTGTCTGCGGATCGAGGCCCCAGTGATGCTTGCGCCCTTGAGTCCGGGTCGTTTGCAGACCACCCTCCGTTGGGATGGCTGCCGGGATGGTTGGGCCAGCCACTGGGCTTCTGGGCCCTAGGTGGGTCGAAGAGAAAAAACTTTGTGGCCCGTGTTCCCTCGGTGGGAAGAGAGTCCGGGTCCGCCTGGGGAAGGCAAACCATTCCGGCGCGACTTTCGCGGGAAGGGATAGGGATCGTGCGTGCGTGTCCCGCGATGCGACGCGGTGGTGTGTCGTGGCAGGCTCAGAGATCGAGGCGGGCGGTTGCCCTTCTCGCATCCGTCGCCCCTATAAAACCACGGGGTTCGCCACCAGGGTTCCGTACTTCGCCCCTTCACCTCCGCATCCAGAGCCTTCGCCGTCGAAATCGCCCGAGCCTCTCCACACCCACACTGTTCCTGTCGTCCAACTCGCAGCCGCATCACAACCGTCATCGAGCCTACATCTGCCTCCCTTCCTATCGTTTCAATGGAGCTGTGGTGCAGATCCAACATTACCCCTCAGCGCTTGGAGGGCCTCGTCCACCGCGGCCTCCTTCGCCCATTGTCCATCTTCGCGGAGTGGCTGTTGCCCAGTGATGAGGACTGGCCGTCGCCGCCAGAGGGGTATTTCGTGTCCTTTGCTCTCTTCCATGAGCGGGGATTCGCCGTTCCCACCCATAAGTTTTTCCAGGGGTTGTTGGATTACTACTAGGTGGAGTTGCAGCATCTTAATCCGAATGGGATCCAGCATATTGTGGCGTTCGTTGCCCTGTGCGAGGGGTTCCTAGGGATTAGTCCCCACTTCGATCTGTGGTGGCATTTCTTCTCCGTCAGTCTATCCAAGAGACAGGTTGGGAAACAGGAGCTGAGCACGCCGGTGGGCTACGCCAGCATTCATCTGCGCAACACCCGCGCGGGGGACTACCCGCTGATGCGTTTGTCGACCTCCAACAAGGGGTGGCACTCGCAGTGGTTCTATGTTAAGGACGACGTGACCGCCTCCTTGCCAGAGTTTACTGGACGCCTCATCGAAAAGGCTCCAGGGTCGTGGAAGTGGGGTGTCCTAGAAAAAGACAAGAAGAGGATCGAGGACCACCTCGTCGCCCTCGAATTTCTGAAGGCTGGGGGCGGGGATCATCGGCGCCTACCACGCGAGGAGGGTGGCGCCGCTCATGGCGTGTGTGCTCCCCCTGTACCAGATGGTACCCGGAGCGTCATTTGATGGGATGGTGCTTGTTGACGAAACGCTTCCTCCCACCGAGGTGGCGCAGCGGATGAAGGAGGCGATGGAGCCTTCGAAGGACACCGACGGTATGATCCTTGACATCGTGTATCCGGTGCCGGGACATCCTCCGATGCGGCCGGAACCGGGGTTCATTGACTTCGTAAGTTCTCTTTTCCCGGGTGTCTTTCTTTACTTGAGCTTCCGATCCTTTGACGCTGATCTTGGGATAACGGGTACAACTGAGGAGTCTTGTCCTTACAGATAGCCTGGCTCTGCTGCCGAAGGACCAGATCCTGGCGGCGGAGAATCGTATCGTGGCCGAATGGGACAAGAGGACGTGGGAGTCCAGGAAGAGAAAAAGGGCACGGAAGCAGCAGGCACGAGATTGTGGCGAAGATACAGATAGTGATGACGACTATGAAGATGATGACGACGAGTCAGCGGCCGGCGTGGACTGGGATGTCCTGGAGGACGAGGATATGCAAGGGCCCTTCCCCTTTCACGCGGAGGGAGGCGAGTCCTCTAGGCCGACGGGGGTCGGAGAAGCTGCCGCCCCATCCGGGGTGCCGCCGGAGGATCGGTGGATGGGATCAGGTGGGTCGGCCGCTGCCCCTGAGGTGCCGATGGTGGGATGCGGCACAGCTGCCGAGCCCCACGAGCTGATGTGGGCGGGAGGATCTGCCGCCACGTCCGAGGAATCGACGGAGAGGGGTAGCTCTGTCGCCGCGCCCTCGGAGATAAGGGAGGCGAGCCCCCCTGCCCAGGGGCAGGGGGTCGGCTCGAAGCGGTCCCGTCCAGATGAGTCAGGGCAGGGGTCTGGGGGTTCATCCCCAAAACGTCCTCATCGCCCAAAGGCTCCAGAGTAGGCTACTGACTCCCCTGTTTTTTCTTCCTTTTTTTCTTTTCTGTTCTGACCTTATGCCTTTTTTCCTCTTGTAGGTTCTTGCGACGGGGCCACGCTCTGGGGCCGGCGCCCAAGAAGAGCCAGGCCATTCAGGCGGGACGGATGGTACTGCCCGACGTCGCCCCTATTTCGGGCAGGAGCGATGTTGACGTTGCGGCCTC